AGTATCTCCATCACTAAGGAGGCCCAGAGAGGGTCAGGAGACTGCTCTAGGTCACACAGCATTTGTAGCAAAGGTAGGGCTGGACACTGATTCTTCCCCAGGGTTCCCACTCAGGCCTTCTCTTGGCTCTTCTCTGAGGCAGCAGTTGGGTGGGGGATAACGGATGGAGCAGACTGACCTGAGAGCGCGTGTCTCTACGTGTCCTTGGGTTAGACCCTCCAGATCAGAAAGAACTGTGGAGCTGGAAGGCCCACTTTGCTTTTTTTTTTTTTTTTTTCTTTTTTTGAGACAGAGTCTCTCTCTGTCACCCAGGCTGGAGTGCAATGGCGTGATCCTGGTGGCTCACTGCAACCTCTGCTTCCTGGGTTCAAGCGATTCTCCTGCCTCAGCCTCCCGAGTAGCTGGGATTACAGGCGCCCACCACCACGCCCAGCTAATTTTCGTGTTTTTTGTAGAGATAGGGTTTGACCATGCTGCCCAGGCTGGTCTTGAATTTCTGACCTCAGATGATTCACCTGCCTCGGCCTCCCAGTGTTGGGATTACAGGCATGAGCCACTGCGCCCGGCCTGCACTGCTCATTTCAGAGGTGGCTAAACAACATGGGGCTCCCAGCACTCTGGGGGTCTTGCCAGGTAGGGTCCTTCCCAGAGGGGGAGAGAGCCCCCTGGCCTTCCACAGTCAGGTGACCTGAGGAGTCACCTCGGCCACATTCAGGCCCCCCGGCCACAGACACAGACACAGACGCAGAGACCAGACTAACACTGGGTGGAACGAGGGTGGTGGCAGGGTGGACACGCATGGAAGCGGGCCTGGGGACAGCCCCAGTGGAGCCTGAGGGGCTGAGTGGGCAGCGAGAGAGAGCGTGAGTGGCTGGGTGAGTGAGGAGCCTCTTACCTCGAATCGGAGTGCTTTCTGTAAGGGAAGCAGAGAGAACCAGGTGAATGTCACAAGGCGGTCGTGGGGGGCCAGGGGGCCCCAGGGAAGCTGGGCCGGGGCCATAAGCCAGGCCTCTGCACTCTGCCCCGGGGAGGGGATCGAGCCAGCCCTGGGCATATGGACCCTGCAGGCTTTGCTGATGAAGCTGGAAGAGGCCTCCTAAGAGCAGGGTGAGGTCTGAGGGCTTGTCAAAGCAGGAGGGCTTCCTGTAGGAGGCGGGAATCTCTGGGGGTGGAGGGATGGAGTCTAGAAGACTCTCTGGACGGGCTGAGGGGCGTCTGTATGCCCAGGGGAGGTCTGTCAGCCTGGGCCTTTGGTGGCCTTCCCTCTGGGCCAAGGGAGGGAGGTTCATGACCCCCGCCTTCCTTCTTTCCTTCTTAGGGAGCCCAGCAAGGGGCTGTTTTCAAGTCCAGACTAGGAAGGGACAAGGAGCAACAGGAATTATCTTGTTAGAAACAGGGAGGTGGGTGGGGTTAGTGCCCCAGGGCCAGGCATTAAAACAGCCAAGGAAGGGTGTCACAGACAGGCCAAGTAGGAGGGACGGGGAGAGGCCTGCAGCCTTCTTACCAAGAGGAAAAGAGGAAAGACCTGTTTATCTGGGCCTTGCGGGCAGGGACGGTTAACTGCAAAGCAGGAAAAGGTGGCTCAGGGCTGGAACGTTACCCCTCTGCTCATGATCCAGGGAGAAGTTTTGGGCTCCCTTCTCTCTGCTGCCGATGGCCGATAAGCTGATAACTTGGCCGGCTGGGGCCAAGAAGATCCTAAGACCTGGATCTGCCAGGAGTGGCCAGACATGTGAAAAAACAGCTCATTCTGCGTGGCCCAAACCCATTTTACAGATGGGCCAACTGAGGCTCAGAGGGGAATCTCTGAGGTCCCATCACGAGGCGGGGGTGGGCACTGACCCTAGCTCTCCGGCCTCCTGGGCTGAGAAGCTTCTGGCCTGAAGTTTTCGGGGTCCCTGTATTATCTTTCGAGGTATCCTCGTGAGGTCACTCTGCACCCTTTACCGGGGAGCAAATGGGAATTTGCCTAAAGTTACACCCTGGAGAACGGGAATCCGAGTCAGCAGAAATCCAGGCTGGCCTTTGCTAGGACATTGGGATGACGATGGTGGAAGCCAGGGTTACAGAAAGTCTTTTCAAGCCGGCCCAGTGGTGTAATCCTGGCACTTTGGGAAGCTGAGACAGGTGGATCACCTGAGGTCAGGAGTTTGAGACCAGCCTGGCCAACATGGTAAAAACCCGGTCTCTACTAAAAATCCAAAAATTAGCCGGGTGTGGTGGCGGGTGCCTGTAATCCCTGCTGCTCAGGAGACTGAGGCAGAAGAATTGCCTGAACCGGGGAGGCGGAGACTTTAGTGAGCTGAGATGGTGCCATTGTACTCCAGCCTGGGTGACAGACTGAGACTGTCTCAAAAAAAAGAAGTCTTTTCAAGTTGGCCAAATCACTCAGGGCTATTCTATCAAGCGGAAACAATGTAGCTCTTAGACATTAAACGGTGTTCCACTTCCCACCCGGAAAGAGATGAAAGGACTGATATCATAGACTGACATCAGTCACTCTCACTTTAGTATGAATTAGTCCCACAACTGACTTCAGGGGATTCAGGCTGAATGCTGAGAAAAGTGGATGAGCAGTGCCCAGTAGCAGCTACGCTGGAAAAATCTCCACCCCACGCCCAGCTCCAGCCCCCAAACTTCTGTAATTAAATCCTTTTCCAGCAGGGCTAAGGCCAAGAAGAAAGTGGGGGAGGACGAAGTTCCATGAGCCTGAGGATGCCTCTGAACCCCCCTCAGCCTCCACTCTGAGGTCTGCCTGGCCCCTTGTGGACTTGTCTCTTTTCCTCTTTTCCTTTGGGTTTTTTCCTCCGCTGCACACTAGTGCCCAGCTGGGGAGGGCTGAGGGGCTCGTTGGGGAGGAGGGAGAGGGCGTTAGTATAACATACCAGGCAGAGTGGGTCACAGTTACCATCACGGTGGCTGTTAGTTTGGTGAGGAGAAGGGGGCAGAAGGGGCACAAAGGGGATGGGGCGTTAGTTGTTGACGTGGTGATGAAATCAGACTTACCAAAGGTTTCTGAACGTTTACAACAGGAGGATAAGAAAAGAGAACAGGAAGTTAACAGGTGGTTAGGAAGAATCCTGTGTCCTCATCGAGGAGGGGAGGGCGGGGGAGGAGAGAGGACGCTCAGAATAATAATAATAACAATAACACTTCTTACGGTTCCTAAAGTGGTTTATGTTCACTAAGCACCTAGCAGGCGTTAGACATTCGATCCTGCAGAGGTCACCAGAACACAAGGAAATAGGCATGTTTTATGGGGAAACTGAGGCCACCGCTCCCCTGCTTGCAGAGGCCTCGGAGCTGCAAACATCCTCAGCCGGGCTGGGAGAGGGGAGGCAATTTGTCCCTGCAGTGTGAGGTCTGAGTCTCTCCAGGGAAGAGATTCTGGGCTCCATGTCTGAACTTTTTTGGGGCTCGGTTTTCACTAAGCAGGAGCAGAAAGCGGAGAACGGGTAGGTGGGCTCTTTGGTGGGGGGCAAGGATGGGCAGTGAGTGTGGGGCACTGGGGATGATTTGGGGAGGGACTGCTGCGAGGGTGGTACTCCGTGGCGGGGTCCTCGGAGGAAGGGGAGAGAGAAAGCAAAAGGAGGTGTGTGTGTGAAGGTGCAGGGTGATCTCAACAGTGACCTGAATGAAGGCAGGGCGTCAAGCCCGGCACAACTGAAAACAGTAAATCCATGACACAGACACACATGCATGTGCAGCCACACGTGTGCTCTCCCAATGTATGGAGACACAGCTCCACCACGTGTGTCCCCACGCACAAGCACTAGGGAGGTGCAGGCTGAGAGGCACGTGCGCGGGTCACCGCCCTGTGTGCACAGGCACGGGAGTGACTGCAACGTGGGTGCACGTGTGGCCGAGATGCAGGCGGACACTTTGCTCCGGGTGGGGGAAGGGAGGCCCATGTATGACAGCGGCGAGGCCTGCACACCTGTGCCCACACGCGGGAGGCAGGCCAGGCCGGCACGGGGAGCCCAGACATGCACACGTGGACATGTCGTGAAGCAGGGGACGACACACACGCAGACACAGTCCCCCAGACAGATGGACCCGCAGATGGGCCACGTGGGTGCTTTGTGGAGACACAATGGTGGAACCGCCCATCCCCAAGGCTCTGTGTGTTCCAAGGTCTCCCTAGCTCCCCCAGGGCCTGAACAGAGAGGCTGGACTGCCCGCCAGTGCCCCACTACAGACCTGAAGCCCCGCCATCACCTCTGTTCGTCTTTGTCCCATGATGTTCTTACTGCTCAGCCTTGAAGACACTCTCTCCCTGTAGTTTTCTATGGCTCCCCATCACCTTACCTGTCACCTCTGGACACTTACCATTACCTTACACAGTTTCCACTACTCCTGCCTGTCTGGGTCCCATTGTATGCTTCTGTATAGAGGATGCTCTCTCTCTGCCACCTTCCATAGCTCCCTATTACGTACCCATTGAAGCTGGTCTCCCCTTTTCACCCTCCATGGCTCACCGACACTTCTCCTTGTCTGTCTCCCAATGCTTGGGCACTCCCAATACCCACCATTCTCGGTGGCTTGCTTGCTTTCTTTTTGGAGACTAGGGTCTTGCTACATAGACCATGCTGGTCTCAAACTCCTGGCCTCAAGCAAGCCTTCTGCCTTGGCCTCCCAAAGAGCTCGGATTACAAGCATAAGCCACTGTGCCCAGCCCCCTCAGTGGCTTCCTATCACCCACAACAGTCTGTGGGTGACAGTCGTGATCTCACTGCCTGAGTATGGGAGACGCTCTCCCCCCACCATGGCCCTATATAACTCCCCACCCTTGTGCATGTCTGCACCATTATATCTTCACTGGCCAGGTGTTGAAGCATTCTTCTTCTACCACTGTCTATAGCTCCCCGGTACTCATGCCCATCTGTGCCCCCTAATATCCTCAGTGTGCAGCTCTGAAGACATTTGCCTCCACTCCTCCAGTGCCAATGCCTGCCACGGCCGCACGCTGTCTCTCCCTGTCCTCCAGTAGTCCCCACAGCTTGGGGCCTGCAGATGCTCCCCACCCCCTGCTGCCCTCCGAGGCTCCCACGTCCTGTCAGCCACACACACTCACCCGATCGTAGCTGTTTGATGCGTCCATTGCTGGCACTAGGATCCACGGGCAGGAAGTCCTTGAACCAGGTGATCTCAGGGTCAGGGTTGCCGCTGGCCGCACAGAGCATGGTGGCTGTCCGTGTCCGCTCCACCACCTTCAACTGCGGGCCCATGTCGATGTTGGGGAAGCCGGAGGGCAGCTGGTCCTCTGAGGGCAGAGACGGGAGAGAAATGGGCATGGTTCTGAGCACTGCACGGCCACCCCTCCAGCCTGGGGCTCAGGGAGTGCCCGGCCACGTGTCCGGCTCCTGCCTGGCTGCGTGACCTCAGCCCTGGGTGCCATCCTTTACAGTCAGTTCTCTCTTTTTTTTTGAGACAGGGTCTTGCTGTCTCAAGTGCAGTGGCACAATCATAGCTCACTGCAGTCTCAATGATCTGGGCTCAAGTGATCCTCCTGCCTCAGCCTCCTGAATAGCTGGGACTATAAGCACGTGCCACCATGCCTGGCTAATTTTTAAAATTTTTGTAGAGAGGGGGTCTCGCTGTGTTGTCCAGGCTGGTCTCAAACTCCTGGCTCCAAGCAATCCTACCGCTTCTGCCTCCCAAAGCACTGAGATTACAGGCATGAGCCACTGCACCTGGCTGGGTCCCTCTTCTGTACTAGGGGGAGGCTTGTGTGAGGGAACTGAGCAGGCTAGAATATTTCTCACTGGGGGGTGACTCTGCTGCCCTGGGAGACACTGGGCGATGTCTGGGGATATCTGAAGTTGTCATGACTTGGGGGTGGGTGCTCCTGGAATGGACTGGGTGGGGCTCAGAGATGCTCTGCCTCCTGCTATGTATAAGCACAAACCTGGCCCCAGGGTCCACAGCGCTGAGTGGGTTCATTTACAGCAGCCTGAGGACACCTTTCTTTTTATCTTTTAAAAAATTTTTGTAGACCTCCCTGTAGTTTTCTATGGCTCCCCATCACCTTACCTGTCACCTCTGGACACTTACCATTGCCTTACACAGTTTCCACTACTCCTGCCTGTCTGGGTCCCATTGTATGCTTCTGTATAGAGGATGCTCTCTCTCTGCCACCTTCCATAGCTCCCTATTACGTACCCATTGAAGCTGGTCTCCCCTTTTCACCCTCCATGGCTCACCGACACTTCTCCTTGTCTGTCTCCCAATGCTTGGGCACTCCCAATACCCACCATTCTCGGTGGCTTGCTTGCTTTCTTTTTGGAGACTAGGGTCTTGCTACATAGACCATGCTGGTCTCAAACTCCTGGCCTCAAGCAAGCCTTCTGCCTTGGCCTCCCAAAGTGCCTGGAATACAGGCGTGAGCTACCGCGCCCGCCTGCCTTTCTAAACATAAACCACACTGCTCCCCCGCGGTACACCCTTCTGTGGTCCCACCACCCTCAGAAGGAGCCCCGGCTGCTTGTCTGCTGCCGGCGCCTGCCACCTTCCCTTCTCTTTTTCTCTCTGGCCCAGTCACGCTGGCCTCCACGGCTCTCAAAGTCATCAAGCCCCCTCCCTCGGGTCACCTGTTCTGTTCCCTTGGCCTGGAATTCCCGTTCCCGCATCTGTCTACTCATTGGAACACCACCTGGGACTAGCTCCAACAACCTTGCTCTAAATGCCTCTACACTCCCCACTGTTCTCTCTGCAGTAGGGAACTCTGAAATGGTGCATCTGCGTCCCTAGCACCCAGCGCAGAACCGGGCATACAGTAGGAGCTCAATCAATGAACAAACAACTCAATCCTGGTTGAGCACTCAATCCTCCAGCACGGTGAGTGGCCCCAGGTCTCCAGCGCTCGGTATCCCTCTTGGGTGGCGAGGTTCTAGCTCCCCTCCATGGTAAATGGAGACTGGTGGTGATGGGGTCGGGAGACAAGGAGGAGAAACTCAGCTTCCTGGGAGCTCCTGGTCCCAGAGCTCCCTGACCGGTGGGAACGTACTTCTGGGCTGAGCCGGCTGAGTGACAGTCTGCCTCGCATCCAGGGTGCTCTACAAACCAAGATGGGCCGGCCGCAGGGGCTCACACCTGTAATCCCAGCACTGTGGGAGGCCGAGGCAGGAGGATCACCTGAGGTGAGGAGTTCGAGACCAGCCTGGCCAACATGGTGAAACCCCGTCTCTACTAAAAATACAGAAATTAGCCGGGCGTGGTGGCAGGCACCTGTAATCCCAGCTACTCGAGAGGCTGAGGCAGAAGAATTACGTAAACCCAGGAGGTGGAGGTTGCAGTGAGCCGAGATCACGCCACTGTACTCCAGCCTGGGTGACAAAGCAAGACTCTGTCTCAAAAAAAAAAATTAAGAAGCAGCCATGTAGAGCAGACTCATAACTGCTCCCCCCAACCCACCCAACTCCATTCCAAAGGACAAGTGACAAAAAAGTGACCAATCGCAGTGCAAGAAATAGGCAGCTCGTCTGCATCTGGTAGGAATGCTGGAGTGGGAGGGGGTAAAGGGCCGCAAATGATGGCTTCAGGGCCACATGTGGCCCTGTGGCTGTTTTTGTTAATAAAGTTTTATTGGTCGGGCGTGGTGGCTCACACCTGTAATCCCAGCACCTTGGGAGGCCGAGGCGGGTGGATCACGAGGTCAGGAGATCAAGACCATCCTGGCTAACATGGTGAAACCCCGTCTCT